TAGCTAACATTATGAATTCAAACAACAATAAATGTTGGTAAGGATGTGGGGATAAAGGAACCCTACTGCACTGTTGGTGAGACTGTAAACTAGTATATCCACTCTGGACAACAGTCTGGAGGTTCCTCAAAAAAACTAAATATAGGGCTGGGAAGGTGGCTCAGTGGTAGAGCGCTTGCCTTGCATGCCTGAGGCCCTGGGTTCGACTCCTCAGCACCACATAAGCAAAAAGAAAAAAGCCGGAAGTGGCGCTGTGGCTCAAGTGGTAGAGTGCTAGCCTTGAGCTGAAGAGCTGAGGGACAGCACCCAGGTCCAGAGTTCAGACCCCACGACCGGACCCAAAAAAAAAAAAAAACAACAAAAAACTAAATATAGGTCTTCCCCACAACTCAGCCATACTACTCCTGGGCATCTACCCAGAACATCATGGGCTAGGATACCATAAAGACACTTGCATGTCCATGTTCATTGCTACACGATTCACAATAGCCAAGATATGGAAACAACACAGATATCCTACAATAGATTAGTGGATCCAAAAAATACATAATGGAAATTTACACAATCACTAGAAAGAACAATATGATGTCTTTGCAGGGAAATGGATGGACCTAGAACAACTCATGTTAAGTGAGGTTAAGTCAATCTCAGAGAGACAAATAGCACGTTTTCTCTCATATGAGGAAGTGAGATCTAAAATACACTTGGATATGATAAATTATACAGGATTCTAGACACTCATACATAGTGAGATCAAAAGAGGACACCCTTAGGGGAGAAATACAAAATACCTATGTACCTCATGTATACATGTATGTGTGTATATATATATATATATGAATATATATGCATTTATATACACACATATATGTGCACATATATATATATTGAAACAAACTAACATATGGAAACAAGCTATCTCTTTTTTGTTGTTTCTGTTTTCTTTTCTTTCTATATGGTTTATTCATGTGTCTATCTTTGGGACCTTCAAGGAAGAACACAGAACTCAAGAGAAAAATGGTGAAAAAGTGCAGCAGTGGAGGCTGGGAATGTGGCTTAGTGGTAGAGTGCTTGCCTAGCATAGATGAAGCCCTGGGTTTGATTCCTTAGTACCACATGCACGGAAACAGCTGGAAGTGGTGCTGTTGCTCAGGTGGTAGAGTGCTAGCCTTGAGCAAAAGAAGCTCAGGGACAGCACCCAGGCCCTGAGTTCAGGCCCCAGGACTGGCAAAAAAAAAAAAAATGTGCAGCAGTGTTGCTCACTGGACATTGTGTTGAAAGTGAACTTCACAACTTGTGTGTAGAGACAGGAGGGAGGAACTGGGAAAGGTGAGGGAAGGGAAGACAATATGGGAAAGGAAATGTACTCATTATCTGACTCATGGTAATTGTAAGCCCTCTGTATATCACCATTATAATAACAATAAATTTTAAAAACAAAAAAAAAAATAAGCTTGTATTTATTGGTGACACTGTTCACTGTTGTTTGGACTGAGATCCTTAGCACTCTACCACTTAGCTACTTGGAGGGGGAGGCATTTTAGCTTATTTTTCAAATAAGAGTCTCGTGCCTGGCACTGGTGACTCACATTTGAATCCTAGCTACTCAGGAGGCTAAAATCTGAGGATTGCAGTTCAAAGCCAGCCTTGGCAGGAAAGTCTGTGAGACTCATCTCCAATTAACCACCAGAAAATTGGAAGTAAAGCTGTGGCTCAGTGGTAGAGCACTAGTTCTTGAGCAATTCCCAAGCCCTGAATTCAAGCCCCATGACAAAAAAAAAAAAAGATCAGAATCTCCTGCTTTTTGCCTGCGCCAGCCTCTGACTCCCACAGAGCTGGGATCACAGGTAGGTACCACCAAACCCAGCTTATTATTGACACAGAGTCTTGCTAACTTTTTTTTTTTTTGCCTTGGATGGTCTCAAATCAATATCCTTCCAACTCTTGTCTCCTTTGTAGATGGCATTACAGGTATGTTTTATTGTGCTTGACACCTAAACTTATTTGGTGGTATTAAACTCAAGATTCACATTTGCTAAACAGATGCTCTACTACATGAGCTATTCTGCCAGCCCTTTTGGGGTACCTGGCTAACTTCATCTTTTTTAATGAAAAGCACCCTTGACCTTCAAGCAGCATAATAAGTATGTGATTTAAGCCTCCAGAAGAGAGAGAGGTGAAAATTTTATTTGAAGAAGTGAAAATTTTTACTACTTGCGCCAGGTGCTAGTGGTTTATGCCTGTAATCCTAGCCACTTAGGAGGCTGAGATCTGAGGATTATGGTTTGAAGCGAGACCAGGCAGGAAAGTCCACAAGACTTTTATCTCCAATTAACCATCAAAAGGCCAGAAGTGGAACTATGGCTCATGGAGTGGAGCACTAGCCTTGAGCAAAAAAGCTTAAGGCCAGAGCCCAGGCCCTGAGTTCAAGTGGTAACACACACACATATTCTCTCTCTCTCTCTCTTTCTCTCTCATGAAAACTTTTAAGTCCATAGAGCCAAGGAATTAAAAAAAGAACTCTAGCAAGAACAAAAAAACAACAATTAAAAAAATTCCAAGGCACACCAAAATTTAAGCCATTGGTCAAGGGCTGAGGATGTTGCTTAGCACTGCCTAGCTTGCATGAGGCTCTGGGTTCATTCCTAGCACCAAAAGCAAGACAGAGAATTTTAGAAAAGAACCTAGAGTGCTGGACACAGTAATACATGCTTAATCCTAGCACTCAAAAGATTGAGGCAGAAAGGTTGAAAGTCTGAGGCTTGCCTGGGTTAACTTATTCTTGTCAAAAAAAAAAAAAAAAGGAAGCAGGGTGCGGGTGGCTTACTCCTGTAATCCTAGCTACTCAGGAGGCTGAGATCTGAGGATCGCAGTTTAAAGCCAGCCCAAGTAAAAAGACTCTTATTTCAAATTAACCACCAGAAAACCAGAAGTAGTCCTGTGGTTGAAAGTGGTAGGGCACTAGCCTTGAGCTGAAGAGCTAAGGGATAGCACCTAGGCCCTGAGTTCAAGCCCCATGACTGACAAAAATAAAATAAAATAAAAGGGAAGGAAGGAAAACAGGAATGGTGGTAAACACCAGTTATTCAACAGATGGAGGTAAAAGAATTTTGCTTTGAGCCTAGTTTGGGCCAAGTTAGTGCAAAATGTTTCCTGAAAAACTAACTAAAAGAAGAGGTGATTGGGAGGGAGGAAGAAAAACAAACAAAAATTTTATAAAGGGCTGAAGGTGTGGCAGTACTCAAGTGGTAGAGTTCTAGCAAGGACAAGGCCCTGAGTTCAATCCTTAGTACAATAAAAAAGGAAGGAAAGAAGGGAGGGAGGAAGGATAATTTACAAAAATAATTTGTAAAACATATATATATAATAAGAATATGGAAGCCGGGTGCTGGTGGCTCACGCCTATAATCCTAGCTACTCAGGAGGCTGAGATCTGAGGATCGAAGTTCAAAGCCAGCCCAGGCAGGAAAGACTGTGAGACTCCTATCTCCAATAAACCACCAAAAAACTGGAAGTGGTGCTGTAGCTCAAGTGGTAGAGCACTCGCTTTGAGCTGAAGAGCTCAAACAAAAAAACAAAAAAACAAAAAAAAAGCTCAGAGACAGCAACCAGGTCCTGAGTTCAAGCCCAGTAACAGCACAGCAGGGGAAAAAAGGTACAGGTTCTATCATATAGGATTGTATGTGTGTGTATGTGTGTGTGTGTATATATGTATGTGTGTCTGTATGTGTATTTGGAAATGCACTTAACTACAAGTGTCACAAACAAATAAACAAAAAACCTGAGTATTAGAGCTAGGGTTGTGGTTCGAGGTGGTGAAGTGCTCTATTACTGAGCTGTATCCCCAGCACAGGCAAAGGTTCTAAACAGACATTTCTCCAAGGAAATGTTCAATAGCACATGAAAGATGCTCAAGGTCTCTATTCATTAGGGAAATGCAAATCACCCACAATGAGATACCAATCCATGCTACTTAGGATAGCTATAATAAAAGAGACTTCATGACAAGTGTTGGTGAGGATGGAGAGGAACTAGAACCTCACACACTGCTTTGTTTTGTTTTGTTTTACCAGTCCTGGGTCTGAACTCTGGGCCTGGGCACTGAACTTCTTTTGTCCAAGGCAAGCACTCTACCTATTGAGCCACAGTTTCATTTCCAGTTTTTTTTTTTAATAGTTTATTGAAGGTAAGAGTCTCAAGGATGGGGCTGGGAGGGTGGCTCAGTGGTAGAGTGCTTGCCTTGTATGCATGAAGCCCTGGGTTCAATTCCACAGCACCACATAAGCAGAAAAAACCAAAAGTGGCGCTATAGCTCAAGTGGTAGAGTGCTTACCTTGAGCTGAAGAGCTAAAGGACAGCGCCCAGGCCCAGAGTTCAGGCCCCACGAACGACCAAAAAAAAGAGTCTCAAGGAGTTTCCTACCTGGGCTGGCTTCAAACTGTGATCTCCTGAGTAGCTAGGATTATAGGCATGAGCCCCCAGTTCCCAGCTCACACACTGTTTTAGAGGTGCAGTTCTAAGTTGAGTCACTATGCAGCCAAGACAGGAGGGAGATGAGTGAGTTTGGCAGCTAACCTGACAAATGAGCAGCCAACCAGACAGCCAGAGCAAGGTGAAGGATAGAAGGACCTTCCAGAAGCATATGCAAAAGCTGAGGAGGCTGAGGAGGGTCTAAGTGGCAAAGACTGAGGCTTCATGTGTGTAATCAGCTCTTATAAACTCTCACTGTGAGTAAAGTGGGAGCCCTGGAGGCCTGGAGCGAAGAAAGAGAGCGCAGACTTGAAGCATATCACAGAGGCCAAGTGTGAAAGAAGCATAAGCACCACCGCTGCAGGAAATGGGTGCAAGGGGAGGCTGTCAGTGTGACCCTGGCAGGCCAGCTGTGGAGGGTCTGCTCGTGGATGCTCACGTCCCTCACCTGGGTCCATGCTCACCAGGGGGACCTGAAAACTCGGAAGCCAGTCATGCTGAGGAGGATGCAGAACACAAAATACACATACCTTCCTTGGCACAAGCCAGGCCGCCAGATCCCCCACCAATGACCAAGAGATCGTAGTCCAGCTGCCCTGCTAGGAAAGGGATAAGAGGTGTGAAAGAAAGAAGCCACCCTGAGCCGGATACTGGTGGTTTATGCTTATAATCCTAGCTACTCAGGAGGCTGAGATCTGAGGGTCCCAGTTTAAAGCTAGCCTTGGCAGGAAAAAACGTAAGATTCTTAACTCCAATTAATCACAAGAAAGCCAGAAACAGAGCTGTGACTCCAGTGGTAGAGCACCAGCCTTAAGCAAAAAAGCTCAAGGACAATGCCCAGGACTGAATTCAAGCCAAAGTAGCAGGGGGGGATAAAGCTACAGTGGAAGGATCACCAAATCTTCACCAGGCACAAGCTCTGTTTGGTTAAAAGTGGTGCAAAGCCAAACACCAGTGGTTCACATCTGTAATTCTAGCTACTCAGGAGGCTGAGATCTGAGGATCTTGGTTCAAAGATAGCCTAGGCAAGAACATTCCTGAGACTCTTATTTCCAATTAACCATCACCAAACTGGAAATGGAGCTGTGGCTCAAGTGGTAGAATGTTAACTTTGAGCCAAAAAGCTAAGGGACAGCAAGCACCCAGGCCCCAAGTTCAAGCCTCAGGACACACACACACATACACACACACACACACACACACACACACACACTCCTACCTTCCATCGCAGATACCTGTCTTTTCTGACACTAGAATGGGGTTCCTGTTCAGTTGTCCTCTCCAGAAGTCCTGCACTGTGCCCTCTGGCTGTTATCTGCCACAGGAAGGGCTGGATGAGTGGACTGTGGGCTTATCTTAGCCATTTGCTCTCCTCTATGTATATCCAGGGGCCTTCTCCATTTGATAAGTGTTTACAAGGGACCCACAGTGGAGAGGTTTGCATGGGTATAATACTTACATTTACACAGACAGCCTACTGAGGGGGACCCAAAGTGAATGAGATGGGTGCTGCTCTGCAGAGGGCTGGTAAGCAGGTGTTACCTGGGAGAACCCTCACACCTTGGCCTTCATCCACTCTAGCTAAGTCACTCTCCCTGCCCACAGGCTCAGGCCTAAAAAGTCTTTGCCTTGCCTCTGCCTTCTGACTACTGTCCTTTAATTTTCTGTTTTCTCAATCCAGTTCCTGATACAGAGCCAGCAAAGAGCTGTGGCACATGGCTTCAACAATGGTAGGAAGGCTCTCTGCAGAACATCTACCTACAGGTGGGCTGGCCACCTAGTGGCATCACCTAAAGCTCACGTCAGCAGTTGTTAGAGACATGTAATGTCCTCCACCATGTTATGCTCTACCACCTCCTTGGCCTCAGCTGAAAAATGCAGCTGTTTTCCTGCTCCAAAAGAGGCAGCTGCAAGCTGAACCAGAGAAGACTCAAACTTCATAGTGGAATGTGGAGAGAGGGGGTTGGCACTTTTCCAGGCTTATTGCTTCATCTCCCCCGCAAAGCTAGGACCAATTCTCCCCAGCTACAGAGGACAGAGTCCTCAAGACAGTAGGATGTACCCAGCTGGAAACAAAATGTTCTGCCCCAAGGCTTGAGGGTGACCTTGACCGTTACCTGACTTGTGAACACAATAGCAGCTACCATTTAATGTTCTTTTCTTGCCACCAGGTGGAGTAATGGCTGCACTGGCACAAGTGTGTTCATTCATTTGCATTAAATTTTCCTGTGTTCTCACCTAATACCCGAAACAAGGAGGCTCTGAAATATGAAGTAACTTGGCTAGTTTCTTAGGGGTGAGCGGCCCTTAGTTCTCACATGGTGAACAAATAAATACCAAGCAATGCTGGATCCTCTCTGCCTTGTTCCTAAGGCTTTGGTAACAAGAGGCCTTCCCATTTATACATGCAATCAGCAGTTCCCAGGGCACTCACTGACCTGACATGGCCTCTAGTGCCCCCTCCTTTAATTCCTGTATATGCAGATAAGGAATATTTGGGCTGGTGGTATGGCTCAGAGGTGGCGCAGCTGCCTAGCAACTGCAGAGCCAGGAATTCTTAGTGTGTCTTAGTGGTTAACAGGTGGCTCACACCTGTAATCCTAGCTACTTAAGAGGCTGAGATCTGAGGATCTCGGTTCAAAGTAAGCCCAAGCAGGAAAGTCTAGGAGACTAAATCTCCAACAAACATTGAAAAGTCGGAAGTGGAGCAAGTGGTAGAGTGTCAACCTTGAGCATAAAAGCTCAGGGACAGAGCCCAAGCCCTGAGTTCAAGCCTCAGTACTCACACACACACACCATTAGTGAAAAACTGTGTGTGTATGTGTGTGTGTGTGTGTGTGTGTGTGTGTGTGTGCCAGCTCAGATCTTGAACTCAGAGTTTGTCACTATTCTTGAGGTTCTTTTTGCTCAAGGCTGGCACTCTACCACTTGAGCAAGAGTTCCACTACTAGCTTTTTTTCTGAGCAGTTTAGTAGAGATAAGGGTCTCACCAACTTTCATACCTGGGCTGGCTTCGAACTGCCATGCTCAGATCTCAGCCTCCACTGGGGGTTGATGAAGAATTGCCAGTAGGGTGCTTGGTGACCTCAGGAATTGGGACATCATCCCGGTTAGGACCACAGTTAACGCTGGCTTTGAAGGGTGCAAGCTCCTAGCAAGGAGTGCAGCAGCACAGGAAGACCTCCAGCAAGAAACTTCAGCCTCAGTTTCCCTATCTGAGAAGAGGGCTACCGGGCTAGAAGCAGGTCTGACTCCTAATCTTTACATTAGTGTGGACAGCCCTGCACGGACTCTCGCCATTGGTCAGTACAGACTCCCCCCGCCCCCCTCCACTCTACCCGCATCCCCCCCGCCGCAGGAACACCCCGCCCCCCCCCCGGCCGCCCCACGTGGACGCCCGCGCAGAGACACCCCCCGAGGACGTCTCCCACACAGACACTCCAGTATCGACGCTCGGCCTCGGCCGCGCGGACAGCCCCGCGGGGATTCCATATCCCCCCCCCCCTACCTGCCGCGCCCCGCACCCCGCCCGGCAAGGCCCGCGCCTGCCACCGGAAGCGCCTGCCGAGTCCCCGCAGCGCCGCCGCCATCGCCGCTGTCGCCGGGGGGCCTCCCGGGGCCGAGGCTGTCCGCCGCTCTGCCTGCGCCGCGCGCGCCGCCCAGTCCGGAACAAGCAGTCACTTGGACGAGGTGAGTTGCGGGCGGAAGGACGATGCGGGGAACGGGAGCGGGGAGGCGTGCGGGAAAATCAGGGCGCCGGGGTCTCCGGGCCGATGTTGGGGGGATCCGATCGGATCTGGATTAGAAATCTGATCTTGAATGAGTAGGTGGGCGGTGACCTCTGGAATGAGTGAGGCCACCGGATTTGGGAAGGGATCGAGGGAAGGGGTGTTAAAAGATCTGTGCGGAGTGGGGAGCACCAGTCGTGGGAGATCAAGTCTGCCAGGGATGGGACTTCAAATCAGGGAGGTGGGCCAGTCCCAGGAGCACTACCTCACTTAACGGGGAGTATGGTAGAGCTAGACACATCATGGTCCTTGTTCTGGTCTCAGCCCTCAATGCCAGAGAGTTGAAAGGGTGCAAGCAGCGAGGGTCTAAGGAGTTCTGAGGATTTCAGGAATCTCCCCAACAGGTTACCTTTTGGAGGCCTGGAAGGGGGGTGACCCTTTAAAAGAGAATACCTGGCCGACTAAGAAAGGACTCACAGAAGCCTATCTCCCCGACCCCTAACACTGGGATCTGGTGGCATTCAGGAGGCTCATCTCCAAGTGGGAATGGAAGAGAAAGAAGTCAACACAATTTTGCTATATCTAGCCAAGAACTTTGGTGTCCTTGTTGCTGTGTGTGAGTGTGTGTCCCCGTGTGTTTGTGTGTCTATGTGTGTGTCTGAGTCCGTCTGTTTGTCTGTCTATCCTGGAGCTTGAACTCAGGGCCTGGGTGCTGTCCCTGACTTTTTCTGCTCAAGGCTGGTGCCTTACTACTTGAGCCACAGCTCCACTTCTAGCTTTTTGGTGGTTCATTGGAGGTAAGAGTCTCTAGACTTTTCTTCTCCTGGCTAGCATTGAACAACAATTCTTAGATCTCAGTCTCCTAAGTAGGTAGAATTATAGGCAAGAGCCACCATTGCTCCGCTTGACTTTTTTATTGTTAGACAGGACAACCAAATTCCTTTAAGTCTGGGGATACCATGGAAGTTGCCTGAGTACTTGCCATCTTCTGGGCAGGATCAGAGAAGGGCTGAAAGAGGAAGTCACGGGAAACAGCAGTGCACTTAAATGTGACAAAACCACATTTTAGGAAATAGGGGAAAGAGCTGAGCTCCCTTCCCCCTTGGGCCAAGGGAGAAAGGAGTCCATTAGAGGTCAAAGAAATGAGCAATTACAAATACCTAGGAGGCAGGGTGATCCTTGCCTTCTGCATTTGCTGCTGGGACTTAAGGAAGGTAGATTCCTATCCTCCCCCAGAATCAAGGGAACTGGAGTCCTATCTTTAGCTTTTGGCTAGAACAGTAGGAAATTTCTTTAGGAATTTAAAGTGTTGTTTTTTTTTTTTTCCAGGCAGGCACTTTTCATAATGCTCCAGTCTTTCTCCTGATGCAGCTCAGAGATATTAGATATTTGTATTTAAGTCTTTAGAAAGAGCCTGACCAAGTTTGGTCAAGGAGAGAATCTTGGACTTGGGGTGTGGCTTAAGTAGTAGTACACTTGCTGGACAAGCCTTGAGTTCAATCCCCACCCCTCCAGCCACCCAGAAAAAAGAGAGAATCTGAAAATGTTGGTAGTGTGTCCCACTTGTCCGACAAGAAAAAGAGATGCCCTTCATTCTCCTAAACAATAAAAGCCCATTTTCTGTTCTGTGATCTTTTGTTCATAAAGAACTTGGTGAAATAGGATGAGGGTATTTGCTGAATGGTGCAAGCAGTTAGGCATCTCAAAATGGGATATTTCTGTGAAAACAAAGAAAAAAGCTAACGGTGGGTGTTAACTATACACCAATTTTTTTAGTCTATTGGGTGTGGGGGGGGAAGATTTTCTAAATGCTCCTCTCAAGTGCCTGGTACAGGAGAATGAGGATAGCAGTAATAATTTAATGGATATCCCTGGTTGTAATCTCAAGTGAAAAGCAAGGCTGTGAGTTTGAGTTCCAGGATTGGCACAAGAGAGAGAGACAGAAAAAAAAGAGAGAAAAGCTGGGAGTCAGAGGCTCACACTTGTAATTTTGCCCACTTGGGAAGTTGAGATCTGAAAGATCAGGCTTCAAAGCAAGGCAGAAAAATCCCTAGGACTACTAACTTCAATTAAGCAGCAAAAAGCCACAAGTGGTGGTGTAACTCAAGTGGTAAATCACCCATCTTGAGCAAAAAAGCTAAGCAAGGGCATAAGGCCCTCAGTTCAAGCTCCAGGACAGTGCGCCCCCCCCCCCCCAAATTATCTTTCTCTCTTTTTTACACCAGTCCTGGGGCTTAAACTCAGAGCCTGGGTGCTAGTCTGAGATTTTTTTTGCTTAAGGCTAGAACTCTAACACTTGAACCATAGCTCTTTTCCAGCCTTTTTGGTGATTAATTGGAGATAAGAGTTGCAGACTTTCCTGCTTGGGCTAGTTTTGAACTGAGACCCTCAAATCTCATCCTGAATAGCTAGGATTACAAGTGTGAGCCACCCATGCCCAGCTTCATCTATCTTTTTGATCACAGACAGTCAAAGCAAGATTTACCCCTGCCTCCACTTTCCCACCACCCCTTATTCCTCCTACTACCCAGTGCTGGGGGGAACTCAGGGCATTATGTATGCTGAACATCTGTTCAACCACTGAGCTACTGTATATCCCAGTCCAAGATTATTCTTGGACTGATTATTTACATAACTGTAGTAAAAATGATACTCAACCACACAGGCCTTTGATAGTTTGCTAAAACTTTTCATAAGGAATCTCAGACTTACAAGCTAGGAAGCTGGCCCCTGAGCCATAAGTCTATCAGACTCCTGCAATAGCTATCGATTTGGGTGATTCTCTCTCTTCCTCTCTCTCTCTCTCTCTCTCTTTGTCTCTCATACTGAAGCTTGAACTCAGGGTCTGGGTGCTTTGAGTTGAATTCCTTTAACTTTTTTTTTTTTTTTTTTTTACTTCTGGCCTTTTGGTGGTTAATTGGCAAGTCTCATGGACTTTCCTGCCAGGGATTGCTTTGAACTTCAACCCTCAGATATCAGCCTCCTGAGTAGGTTTACAGGCATGAACCACTGGCGCCCAGCTAAATTCTCTTCTTGAGATCTCTAACTATCCAGAGATTACTAGGGTTGCCAGGAATGGGCTCTTCTGGTGTATATAAGACGGAACCGATCTAGGCACCAGGCCAGATTTTTCCAGAGGGCTTTTTTTTTTTTTTTATTGAGACAATAAACATTGTCTCAATAAAAACTTAGCTGCTTAAAGCTGTCTGGTCCTATCTGCTTCTATGTGTGATCTCAAGTAGAACATTCCAACCAAAGCTTTGGTTTCCACTTAGGTCTTGTTACAAGAACAGATTCTTACTGAAGTTGTAGTAATAACAGCATTGCCATGGAAATAAGAATACTCAGAGCTGAGTACCGGTGGCTCACGCCTGTAATCCTAGCTATTCAAGCGGCTGAAATCTGAGGATCAGGGTTCAAAGCCAACCCGGGCAGGAAAGTCAATGAAACTTTTTTTTTTTTGGTCAGTCAGGGGCCGGGGGGGGGGGGGGGGGGGGGGGCTTGAACTCTGGGCTTGGGCGCTGTCCCTGTGCTCTTTTTAGCTCAAGGCGAGCACTCTACGGGTTAAGCCACAGCACCACTTCCTGTTTTCTAGTGGTTTATTGGAGATAAGAGTCTAGGAGTTTCCTGCCCGGGTTGGCTTTGAACTGTGATCCTCAGATCTTAGCCTCCTGGGTAGCTAGGATTACAGATGTGAGCCACCGGCGCCCAACTATGAAACTCATCTCCAGTAAACCACCAGAAAACTGAAGTGGCACTGTGGCTGAAGTGGTAGAGACTAACCTTGAGCTGGAGAGCTGAGGGACAGAGTCTAGGCCCAGTGTTCAGGCCCCATGATTGACTAAAAAAAAAAAGGAATACTTAATAAGTTTCGAAGTTTAGAGGTATCTGGCAGTAAGAAGATTTTGTTTAATGATGTATAACTTACTAGATTGTTACAAGTGATAGGTAGTTAAAGAGAAAGGGAAGGAGGTGGGGTTTTGTGCCCCAAAAGTGCGGCTTGTGGTTGCTCTGCCTATATATGCTGCTTCTACATATGAGCTTCCCTTCTCTCAAGCTGGCCTCAATCAGTCTTTCTACCTCAGCTTCCCTTGTAGCTGGGACTACAGGTGCTCACCACCACACCCTGCCAACTGCCACCTATCTTGGTTGCCCCTCTGGGGCCATAGAGGTATAGGCTAGCTTTGTAGAGGGATGACCTAAATGAACTTATGATAAGGAAGATTTTGAACCCTGGAGGTTCTTGCTGTTATTTGGGGAAAAAGGACTTGCCCCTTGCTCAGGTCTGGCTAAATGTCATTTGTGCTGGAAGGAAAGTGGTTAGTTGTCGCTGACCTGTGGATGCACATGTCAAAGGCCTGTGTCAGGATGGAGCTTGAGGTTGAAACAATAAGGAAGCCCTCATTTCCCAGCTTCATCTCCTGTATCTCCTGTCTTTCATGAGAAGCAAGTTTCCGTGATATGGCCCAGTTTGCCCCATCCACCAGCTTCCTTCCAAGCCTGCAACCTCCACATGTGTAGGTGCTGGACTTTGACTACACCAGGAGTGGTGGCAGTAGTGAGCTCCAATCTGTAAACTTTCTTCTCTGCCCCTAAGGATTATTTTTCAAGCCTCATGTTGGGCACTGGTGGCTTATGCCTAGCTATTCAAGAGGCTGAGATCTGAGTATTACAATTTGAAGCCAACCTGGGCACTTTTTTTCCCCCTTCGGTTCATGGGGCTTGAACTCAGCGCCTATGCACTGTCCCTGAGCTCTTGCTCAGTGCTAATGCTCTACCACTTTGATCCACAGATCTACTTCTGGGTTTTAGGTGGTTAATTGGAGATAAGGGTCTGCTGGGGACTTTTCTGCCTGGGTTGGATTCGAACCACGATCCTCAGATCCCAGCCTTCTGAGTAGCTAGAATTACAGGCGTGAGCCACTGGTGCCTGGTTTCTGTGAGAAGCCAGCAAAAAGCTAG